AGGTATTGCGGTGGATCCAGACGTTAATGTTCCCTGATGGGTATGCGGCGAATCTGAGGAGGGGAGTGAACTTGTCTACTATGCGAGTCTTAGGGATGAAGAGTCATGACTACCACATATGGATTGAATGGCTTCTTCCTGCCATGACCTAGGGATATGTCCCCGAGAATGTCTGGCGCGTGCTGGCAGAGTTGAGCTATTTCTTTCGTCAGCTTTGTGCCAAGGAGTTATCTCGAGCCATGGTTGTTGACTTAGAGAAAGTGGCACCTGTGTTGCTCTGCAAGTTGGAGAAGATCTTTCCACCCGGCTTCTTCGTGTCGATGCAGCATTTGATTTTGCACCTACCGTACGAGGAACGAATGGGGGGTCCCATGTAGGCCCGTTGGTGCTATCCAATCGAGAGATGTCTAAAGGTTCTTCGCAAAAAGTGTAGAAATAAAGCCAAAATTGAGGCGTCTGTGGCAGCGACATTCATTATGGAGGAGGTGTCAAACTTCACAACAGCATACTATAAGGACAACCTTCCAAGTGTGCACAATCCACCCCCTCATTACAACGTCGACGAGAGTTCATCGAACCTTAGCCTTTTCAAAGGGCAACTCGGAAGCGCAAGCGCATCGAGCACCAAGACCTTGCAGTATGATGAGTGGCGCACTATCATGTTGTATGTGTTGTTGAACCTTGATGAAGTGAACCCGTATTTGCGGTAAGTTCTCAATGAGCTTGTTACATACGCCGTCACTATCCTCCATCCATCCAACCCCCTTGTCTCTCATTTTTTTAGGGAATTTCTGGATAAGTACTGGCAAGAGGATTGGGCTCCTTCCCCTCAAGAACAAGATAGCCTTCTCAAAGATGGTGTGCCCGATTTCATTTTCTTGTTTAGTAAGAAGGTACCATCCAATTTACCTCGTTCTATCTTTGACTCACCACTTTGCTCGTACGAGCGAGTAATGTAACGATCTATCTGGCCTCACCTTGCAGGCCAGCACGGATGCGGAAATGAGTGATGAGTTGAGACAGGTTGCCAATGGCTTCGCCTATAAGGTCAAGTCATTTACCGTTTATGATGTAAATGGATATCGCTTTCACACAACAAGACACGAACAGAGTTGCCCAAACCGAAGAACCACGAATACCGGAGTTTGTACGCCTGGCACCGATGACCGCGACTACTACGGCATAGTCGAAGAAATATACGAGCTCAGATTTGAGGGTCGCAAACCTCTTAATCCAGTCGTATTCAAATGCCATTGGTTCGATCCTGATGTAACGAGAACGACCCCTGAGCTTGGGCAAGTCGAAATTCAGCAGGATTCCGTCTATCGAGGCGACGATGTCTATATTGTGGCTCAACAGGCCACGCAAGTTTATTATCTCCCATGGGCGTGCCAAAAAGACCCTAATCTTACGGGCTGGTACCTTGTGCACAAGGTATCGCCGCACGGTAAAGTGCCTGTCCTGAACGATGAGGATTACAACTTTGACCCAAACACATACGATGGAGAGTTCTATCAACTAGAGGGGCTAGAAGGGAGGTTTGACATAGACATGTCTTCGCTGATGGGCATGGAAGTAGACAATGACATTGATGAGGACGATGGAGATGAGGTGCAAAATGCCAACGACTTACAAATGCTTGAGCGATTACGTTTAGGCGATGACAATGATGACAACGTTGGAGATGAGGCCGATTTTTTCGACAATATTGATAGTGATGCCGATGACAACGAGGGAGATGATGACAACGAGGGAGATGATGACGAGGGAGATTATTTCTAATTCATGTAATACTATATTATTATTATTATTATTATTATTATTATTATTAATTTGCAATTATGTTTCGTTCATTTTCCATCTCTTTATAAGGACTTACAAATTCATTTTGCATCTTTGTAATTGTAGAAACTCGACGCATCCAAGTGAACCTGGCCCTTCTCCACAGTTCGGGTGGCCAGCTGGCCCTCCTCCACAGCCCGGGGGGCCAGGTGGCCCTTCTTCACACTCCGGGTGGCAAGGGTGGCAGTAGGTACCTTGGATTGGTCTCTTTTCTTATGTTTCATGGACTTAGACTTGTGTTGGATCCTGTGATGGATATTGTGATGGTTGTGTTGGATGTGGATATTGTGATGGATGTGGATGTGATATACATTGTGATCTATATCGTGTATGTGATGGATATTGTGATGGATATTGCTATGGATGAGGCATTTATGTGATATATATTGTGATTATGGGCATGAGATGGTTGTGAATATGTGATTTGTTTGTCTGTAAAGATGGGAAGCAAAAAAGCACTCGGCAAAACTGGGCAAAATCGGCTCAGGTCCCAGATTTGCCGAGTGCTATAGTCATGGCACTCGGCAAAACTGGACACTTTGTCAAGTGCCTCGTCCAAAGCACTCGGCAAAACTGGGCACTTTGCCGAGTGCCTCGTCCATAGCACTCGGCAAAACTGGGCACTTTGCCGAGTGCCGACGCTGTGGCACTCGGCAAAGAATTTTTTGGAAAAAAATAAAAAAATATTTTGCCGAGTGCCCGACACGTCACCACTCGGCAAAGAGGACGTCAGACGGGCGGTCTCCGTTAGGTCAACTTTTCTTTGCCGAGTGCTGACGTGGCACTCGGCAATGGCTTTGCTGAGTACCCGATATATTGCACTCGGCAAAGAACCCTTTGCCGACAAAAGCTATGCCGGCAGGTCTTTGCCGAGTATAACACTCGGCAAACTCTTTGCCGAGTGCAAACTTGGGTTTGCCGAGTGTTTAGGGCACTCGGCAAAGAACCCGTGTCCAGTAGTGATGCCGATGAACTTCTTTAAGGGAGAGACTGCTTTGTCCTGCAGGTGTCACGGCGACTAATGCTATAGTAACAGTTCCTAGATATTCTTACCCCGTCAGGAGCATTCTGCATTTCAATAACATACTTGATTTGATTGATGATGATCAAATTAGTGAGTTAGATGGCTTTGATGATCAATAACATGCAAACTGCTCGGTCCTATACGTCCGTATGTTTTTAACTGATGGTTTCAAAACTGACAAACAAAACAGGATCAAGGAAGAAGGCCGATTCAAGAAATCAGCCAACCTAACCTTAGTACATCGGTTAGGACGACTTTAAAGTCAAAATGATATTATCACGTCTATAACTGCTGGTTCACGCCACGAACCGATAGTGATAGTCCACCAATCACTATTAGTTGTGTTATCAGTGTCGGTTGAAGTCAAATAACCCGTAGTGAATGTTAATTCCGTAGTAGTGTTACTCAAACAATGCAAGTGTATATACACGAAGAACCATAAGGAGTTTATTCCAACGGTAATACTTCCTGTAGGGCGTCCGTCCATCCGGACCTGCTTTTGGTGGGCCGCGAACCCAATGACCCCCTCCTATCCTATCCTATCTGCTCGTCCACTCATTTCTCCAGAACCAATCACGCAGAATCACCACAGCGTCGTGACCGTGTTCCATCGCGCCGCCTCCGGCGTCTGGGCGCTTGCCGGCCGGCATCTCCACCGGGTCCGAGCGTGGCGGCCTGCCTTCGTCCCTCTCCATCACGCCTACTGCCCGCCGCAGCCGTTTCTCTTCCTCCTGGCCTTTGTGTCATCCTCGCCTTGCTCTGGTGGCAGATGTGGCTACCTCTTTAGTCGCTTCCTATGCCACCCCATGGCACAGCCCTCCGTCGGTGGCACATAGTAGATCAACTCCTTTGCCACAGGCGTGCAAATCGCGCGTGGCTCTCCTATTTGTTATGGTGTCGTGATGTGCCGGCTACCTTGATACGCCTCCACCCCTTCGTCGTGTAGATGTCTTTCACATCGCCCGTGCTGGTGGCCCGGCCTGCTCAAGGATGATCTTGGACGGCAACAGCATGGTGACTTGCCGCAACAGGGCCACGCGCGTAGTTGCGCTCCGTCTGTGCGGCAAGCATCATGGAGATGTTGCGCGAAAGCGCATGTTGCAAGCGTATGTTTCAATTGTTTCAGATATTTTAGAGGTATGTTGCTAGTGTTTCGCATGGATGTTGCAAAAGTACACCGGAATGGTGCATATGCTGCAATAGCTATACACGCATGTTGCAAGAGTTTGTTCCAAATGTTTCGTCTGTTTCTCATACATATATTGCAAGTGTTTTATCTAGATATTGCATATGTTGTAAGTGTTTTATCTGGATATTTCATACGCTTGCAACGGCTTTCAAGTGTTTTCAGGCATTTTGCGAGTGCTTCAGACGTATGTTGCAAGTGTTTCAGACAAATGTTGCAAGTGTTTCAGTTGTTTGAGACGTATATTGCAAGTGTTTCATCTAGATATTGCAAAAGTAGATCGGGTGTTGCATATGTTGCAACGGGACCCACCTACCATGGTCGCCTACTGCAACTGCTAGGGCGTCGTCCATTTGGTTCCTGTGTGAAGCGGGTGTGGGAAGCAGCCGGCGCAGGCACAAGCAGTCCCCGCATGCTCGATACGGAGCAGGGGTGCCAGCGGTCCCCACGTGCACGCGGGAAGCAGACCTGAAGTGAGCGGTTCCTATGTGCGAGCGGAGGGCATGGGCCGGGCGACGCGTCCACGCGACGCAGGCGTGGGAAACAAAGGAGGTGCAGGAAATGGAGAGGTGCGCGACACAAGCGCGGGAAACAAAGGAGGCGCAGGAAATGGAGAGGCGCGCGATAGCAGGCGCGGGCGCTCGGACGCCCAGGCGCTAGCATCTCCCTTATTCCTAACAGAAACATGCAAAATTAAGAGGACTTGACTTCCATCATCGCGCAAATGTGCGATTTGGCTTTGACTCAACATGGCCATGCATAATTCAGATTACATGATGATAACGACTGAAAACAATAAGCAAATGACCCAAACCAAAACACCATGGACTTCCAACTTGACCCAAGCTATGCAGTACATAAAAGATTAAATAAACTACCCATAAAAACGCATATAAACCTCATCCATTCGATCGAGCATGCAGCCGCGTATATAACACCAGAATTCAGTTATTCAGCTTTTTCGCCCTTGCAGCCCTTTTCGCAGGAGTCCTTGCACGACTGGAAGACTGCAGACACGCACCCATCGTAATTAGGGCTTGGAGTGCTCTCGCAGTAACTGTCGCATTTGCTCTCGCAATCACATATAGTCTCCCCTGCACTATGGCAGCTATCAGTGCAGCCCATAACGCAGCCGGGCCTGCACCTGGCTACATCAAAGCTCTTGGCACCCTCGCAAGAGCTTGCAGCTTTCTCGTTGCACCTCGAAGGACATTCGGAGATGCAACGATGCATGGCGCAGGATGGCGACCCTTGTGCTGGTTCCCCCACCCAGCTAACCACCAGAGCCACACAAATGACAGCGACAACAGCTCCCTTAAGAGCGGAGGCACGCAAAGCCATTATGTGTGATATTTGTGTGGATGCACAACTAGCTTAAGAGGAAGTTACTGTATGAAGTAAGATGTGGCCGGCTTCTCAAGTGGTGGTGCTCAAACGGTAAGTCATTTCGTGGTATTTATAGGCTAACAAGCAAGCATATGCAAACAGCTACTAAGCTAGCTATACACCGCATGTGCATGTCACAGGAACCCTGGCATTATTATCGGTTGACTTCGTTTTATGTGCAAGCACAAGGACCAAAGAAAGAGTCGTTATCTAATTTTTTTTGTAGTTTACAGAATCTGACTGCCCCATGCGCCCACCGACGGGAGCTTCTCAACTTAGCATGTCAAACCGCATGTGCATCACAGGAACCCTGCCATTATTATCGGTTGACTTTGTTTTATGTGCAAGCACAAGGACCAAGGAAGGAGTACTATATATGGGGGGTTTTTTTTCAGTTTACTGAATCTGACTGTCGCCGACTTGCCTTTCACCTGCGGCCCCTGCGGCCCTGCGTCACTGACGGGAGCCTCGTTTCCACCGGCCCCTCCTTTCCTATCCGGGCTTCTTTGAATGTGGATTGCTGTTTGGAATGTGGGCCTCCACCGTAATATTGGACTGTTTTGTGCACAGCTTGCTGAGGATAACATGAATGATGTGGTCAGTCTCATAACTTATATCCGGATTAATTGTTATGTCTATATATATATGCATGGTTCTAATAACCACATTTTTCCCAACACTTGCAGATTCAGAAGAACGACGTAACATACGCAAGTTGTAGCTTTGAAGCCATTTTAAACCAAGCCATGTATCACTTGGGTCGTTATAAATGGAAATATAGTGGCCCTGTTCTCACTTTAGAGGGAATCCAGGAAAAAATTCTTATGACTAGGAGTGAAGATTCTCGACCAATGCTGATCGTCGTCAGTAGACCTTGTGAACGATCTTGTGAAGCAAGAGAGAGTGCACTAGTAAACACATTGCGCTACATCAATGATATTTTGGCATATGAAATGAATGATCTGCACTTCTCCGAGTACGTGGTATGACGTTAGATAATTCTAGAAAGTTAAATTATTGTTAGTTGTAATAATGAACTGATCTAAATTATTATGGTTTGTAATCAACAAATTTAAATTATTATATGTTTGTAATGAATAGGTTTGTAATGAAGTAATTTAAATTATTATGGGTTTGTAATGCATATATCTTCTTGTCAATTAGTTGTTGATATAATGTCCTTGTGAATTATATATTATATATATATATATATCTATATATGTTCTGGTCATATTTTAATTTTTAAATTTCAATTTTTTGTGTGTGAAAATATACTGTGGGGGCGGCTCTAGAGTGAACCGCCCCTACAAATAGGAATTATAGGAGCGGCTGGTGTTACAACCGTCCCTACAAATTATTTTTGTAGATGCGGCTGCTATTACCAACCACTCCAACAAATACAATTGTAGGGGCGATTGGTGACACAAGCCGCCTCTACAAATCGATTTATAGGAGCGGCTTGGAAACCGTCCCTACAAACCCTTGATTTGTAGAGACAGCATGGTAGGGACGGTTGACAAAACCGTCTCTATAGACCATCGTCAGCCGCCCCTAGTGTAACAAGCCAAACAGCTATTAAGCTAGCTATATACCGCATGTGCATGTCACAGGAACCCTGGCATTATTATCGGTTGACTTCGTTTTATGTGCAAGCACAAGGACCAAAGAAAGTCGTTATCTAAATTTTTTTGTAGTTTACAGAATCTGACTGCCCCCATGAGCCCACCGACGGGAGCTTCTCAACTTTTAACATGTCAAACCGCATGTGCAACACAGGAACCCTGGCATTATTATCGGTTGACTTTGTTTTATGTGCAAGCACAAGGACCAAGGAAGGAGTACTATATATGGTTTTTTTTTTTTTTTTTTGCAGTTTACTGAATCTGACTGTCGCCTACTTGCTTTCACCTGCCGCCCCTGTGGCCCTGCGTCACTGACGGTAGCCTCGTTTCCACCGGCCCCTCCTTTCCTATCCGTGCTTCTTTTCTCAATTTTTTTTGGCTTAACGGCAACAACACGACTACTACCAATCTTGAAGTTTGACGGATGGTTTTCAGTGGCGGTGTCTAATGCAAGTGGGGAGTGGGTGTGACCTGTCTCCTCCTTGGTTGATCCTTCTTTGGGCCGGCGACTGTAGGGTCGGCTACGATTTGTGTCAACCGGCGCAGCTATGATATGCCATGCATGTATGTGTGGCTGGCATGCAGCCGCAACGACAACCAACAAAAGCGGTTTATGGATGGCTGTTTGGGAAGGAACGCTCGTTGCTTTCTACAGAAGCTTCATGGACAGCGTCATGCAGCAGCGCTGAAGACTCCCGCAGACTCCCTTGGCTTTGGTGCTGGAGCAAGTGGTGGCTTCGCATGCAGGCCCGGTGCTGGAGCAAGTGGTGGCTTCGCATGCAGGCCCGGTCCTGTCAATTTATAGATCTGGAGCGAAGCTTGGGAGATGGTCTTTCATTATAATTATAATAATATGCATAAAAATTCTATCCATCTCTATTTTTTCTTTTTTCACTTCTATATAAATGCGTGCCTTTTGTCAACACGAGTACACTGGAAATTTAGAAATGCTAGATTCAGTTTAACGTTAAAATAAAAATGAGTGTTAGTAAATTACCAAGTATTTTTTTGGCGACAGACAAGTGGAGAACAGGGATAATAATTATTCACTGCCCTGCACCGTTAGGAATTCCCCAATCCCAAATTAGATCTGAGTCTTATATTCTGAAGAATAACGACAGGGGGCAAAGGCAATTAGGCAAATTAAACATTGATTAAACAATCAACAAAGGGGCTTAGGGAACAGGGGCAATTGGGCACGGCACTTTACCTGCACACGTCTAGACGTAAGGACGTCTCATATAGTCATAGTGTCGTACTCGCTTGGCTGGGAACGGAGTTATGGAGCGAGCAAGCGGAGTAGCCAGTGCGCACGGCCGATCGGCGATGGTGACGCCGGACGGCAGACGCGAAGGCGTGCCGCGATAAAACAACGAAGGAGAGCGGCCGCGACGGAAGGGAAATCGACGGACTCTTTCTTACGCGCCTGATATTTCGTATGGGCCATATATATATTTCCTATTGGACCAGAGTATTGCCAACTAGCTTACATACTTGAGATTGGGCTCCTAGGCTTCAAGGGCCCTGTGCGTGGGCACAGCTCGAACCCCCCAGGACCGGGCCTGTTCGCGTGGTAGCCGGTGTCATGCTGGATAGAGGCTTCCCTTACAGGCTGATGTGGCGGCAATAGGTCACACATGCCTATAACCCTGTTGTTGCCTCAATGATCTCCTGTTGATGGTGGTCTACTATGGTTCTATGCGGTTGTGATTAGGGATGAAAACGGTACGGATATTTTCCGACCGTATTCGAAACCGAATCCATTTAGAGGGGTTGAGATCTGTCCGTATTCGAGTCCAGATATCCAACATCCGATACCGTATCCGTATCCAAATACTCAAATCGCATATTTATGATGTCAATATACAATCGTATCCTATCCGACATAGTTGATACTATCCGTATTCGAATCCGAATCCGAACAGAAATATGAAAACAAATGTAATATCGGTGATATCCGTCTGTATCCGATCCGTTTTCATCCCTAGTTGTGATCCACGGCATGGCAAGATTTGGATCTAGGGTGTTGGGGGCTTTCAGGCGAAAGCCCTGCATAGTTTTTAGCTATGGCCGACAACACATTTTTGGCGGCATTCCCCATATCGGAGGCATTGTAGTGAGACCTCTACCTCTATAGGAGTTCTAGTTGAAAAAGGCATTGTAGTGAGACCTCTACCTCTATAGGAGTTCTAGTTGAAAAACCTTAGTTCTTCGATCGGTGTTTGCGACACATGTGGGTATCGTTTCCCTTCTTGGAGGATTAGCTCAGGAAACCACCTCTCTCTTTTTCGGCTACAATGGTTGTTTCCTGTGGCGTATACCACTACTAGGAATATCCACTTCTATGACGATCTGTTTTTGTCACTAAAGGAGCCAAATTCATTATAATTTCAGTTTTATTATGAATTTATGATGAAAAACGGTTCATCATAGAAGTCGCGTCATTCTTGCAATTCTATGATGATTCTAGAAAATCATCATAGAATTGGATAGTTTTATGACAAAAATTGATTGTCATAGAACTCCTTGAGCATGCGTGTGGGGGGGGGCAGCCATGTTGGCGGTTGCTTCCGTTGGAGATGCTTTTTACGTGTACCTGCTATAACCGGTTGCATTGGAGATGGTTCGGGTACATGTCATCTTGTTATTGGACAACGTGGCCATCTCTGGTTCTTGCACGTTTTTGGTTCTTAATAGATCACGTGTCGGGCCCCTGTTGTTCCACATGTCAATTTTCTATTGGCACACGTGTCGTGTTATGGTTGGGTCACGTGTTATTTCTTCATTGGACTATGTGTCATATTTTTATTGGTTCATGTGGCCATTTCGTATTCGACCATGTGTCACGGTATTGTCTATCCACATTTTGTTTTTTGATTCGGACACATGGCTTGACAGCTTCCTTCGACGTGTCGTGCTATGGCTATTTCACGTGTCATGCACTGGTTCGTCCATGTGCCGTGCTATGGCTATTTCATGTGTCATGCACTGGTTCGTCTACGTGTCGTATTTTTATTTGATCACGTGGCCTGCCTAGGTTCTACCACGTGCCCAACAATAAATTCATCATAAAAGTAATTTAAGATCATCATTGCTGCAAAGATTGACTACATAATTATTCGATGATGTCTACATAATTATTCAGCATTTTTCAGTCTTTTTTGTCTTCCTCTTCAGTTCATCCACTTGTTCAACGAGGTTAGCGGAACTTTCCTGTTTAGCAACAAGCTGTTCCCGAAGCATTCTCTCCGCCGATGTCTCTGTTCTGCACAGAGCTTGTTGATATACCTGCATTCTTCAAAAAAAGGGTGTTGCCGCTGACCTGGGAGTGGA